ATGCACTCGCCAATTTTTTTTCGCATTCATGTTGTCTATAGTTTTTTAAAATGTTATTTTACCTGAAGACGTGTAGAGACTAGAGAGTAAAACGATCTCATTATTTGATGGGTGGCTATAGCTCCCATGGCAGAACTTAAGGAAGCTAGATTGTACGTATTGATGTTGCCTGGAACTATGAGCAAGTGCTCGGCCCAAAACAACATCTCGACATCCGAGGCAAAAAAAAAAAAAAGAAAACTGTTAAGATAGATGCCTTAATTTTTTAACCCTCCATCGTCTTTCCTGTATAATGGGCTGGAGCTTGACGAAAGCAACCTCTTGATTAGCTCTAGCTGAGCACGGCATGATGTGGAAATGCGTAATAGCATGCATGATTACAAATAGCTACAAAGAAGACTTTATACTGCCATGGACATAAAAATAAAAGGAGAGTTGATTGTCTGGTGGTGTTAGAAAGAAGACAAACATGCTCATTCTGGAATAACGGTTCGATCCGCATTAGTAGGGTTACGTATTCTCATGCAATAAAATATTTACGTTTTTGGAGGCCTGCAACAGATAAAATAATGCGATGAATTGCTGGGAGTTGACCTTCGCACTTCACTGATCGAATCTTCTCAAGTCTCAATGAACAGAAAAATACAAGCAAAACAATTTTTATATTCTTCACGTGAAAGACTGAAGTCTATGGACAACCTCTTGATCATCACTGCAAACACAGTACTCCTTTGAAGTGTGTTTGTAGAAGCTCGATGTTCATGTTATTGACATGGTTGTGATTCTGTGATGACATGGTAGGCATAAATCAAGTTCTGCTATCTATCTGCGTTTGGTTAATTAATTAATTAGGCTTTCTAAATCGACCAAGGAACATGTGAGAAAAAAATTAATTGACGTTTAATTCTTGGAACCGAATGGATGATCATAAGAATTGGTCAATAAGGCATAAATTGATTCAATGATTAAGAATATTAAATTGAGACCTATTGCACATTATATTTTTTATTTTATAAAAGGAGATAATGGTTGTTATAAATTGAGGTTAAGAAATACCCAAAACTTCTAATACACAAGTGCTTGTTAAATAATATATATATTGAACTAGCATATAAAAGAATTTTAAATGAAAATATCATTTATGTGTAAAGAAAAATTCATGTGATAATTGAACAAGTAATTTTTAGACTTGAAATTATTAAGTTATATTTTATAGAAAGTATTATACTTTGATTATGATCACATGTTGTCCTAATCAAAGGCAATAAATGAAAAAAAATATTGGGTATAGTATAAATATATAAAGATATTTGAAAAAATATCATTTATGCGTAAAGAAAAGTTCATGTGATAATTGAGCAAGTGATTTTTAGACTTGAAATTATTAAATTATATTTTATAAAAAGTATTATACTTTGATTATGACCATATGTTGTTCTAATCAAAGGCAATAAATGAAAAAAATATTGGTATAGTATAAATATATAAAGATATTTGAGTAATCAAGAGAAGATTCATTATCTTAAATGAATGAACAAAAATATTTTATATACTCTCAAATAATATTGATTATAAAATCATTAGTCAAGATGGAATGAAATTTTAAAGGAGTTTAATATCTTATTCAAAAAATTAATGACTATAGTGTTGAGAACAAAAAAGATTTAATAAAGCAAATATATCTTAGGCTATAATATCTAAATCGAAATATTATTGATGAAAAGATAATAATTACACTGATAAACTGATCATTAAAAGGTTAAGTCAAATTATCTATGACTTTCTATTATTTGAGAGATCATAACATATTGCTAAATATTTTACTTGATCTTTAAATAGAAATCAATCAATTGTTGGATTGACAATAAATTAAATTGTTTAACCTATTTTATTCTATTTTATTTAGAATTATAATTTAAATTTGGACCAACTTATTAGAGAACCTAATGATGAACCACACACGTAAAACCCTTTAGTGATAAATTAAAATAAAATAATTAATCAAATATGACTTGATTGTAAATAGATTTTTAAGATTAAGGACTAGAATGCAATTAATACATGGAATTATAATTCTAAACCTAGAAAAAATCAAGTAGAGACTTCATTGAATAACTTTATAAAATCATCATGAAAAAATATATGTAATATTATTTAAGATGAAAATTGATATTTTGTTATTTATAAAGTATTTAGGTTTTATACCATGCCTTTTATTTTCTGCACATGATAACACAATATTACACTATAGAAATACATAAACACACAAAAAGAAAAAGCTATTATCAGAAAATCGATAAATATAAACAGAAATATCGAGAAAATATTTTTGTTGGTAAATTACTGATGGATTTTACTGACAGAAATATTTCCTTGGTATTTACCGAAAGAATTACAGTGAAAAAAAATTAAAACAAAGCAAAAATAATAATAACGTGCTATTTTTACGAACGGAATTACCAACAGAAAAAGTTTCATCTATAATTTCATTAGTAAAATCATTAGTAAATTGTCAAAACTATTCATCAGTAATTTCATTAGTAAATTGTCAAAACTATTCATCATGTTAATTATAAAGAGAATCATCAACAAAACATTTCATTGGTATTTTACAAAAAGCTATAAAACTATTCACTTTCTAATTGCATTGTTAATTACTGTTTTTTACAGACAAAATCACTAATGGATTGAAAGTTATCGATTTTATTTGATGGTTTTTAAAAAAATTTACGGATTGAAAGTTATTAATTTTATTTGATGGTTTTTAAAAAAATTTAAATTAAATTAAATATTACAAACGGAATCAGTGATGTATTAAAAAGTCGTTGATTTCAATCCGTCGGTGATATTTGGCAGTTTCTGAAATTTTTTTATTAAATTTATATTTTAAATTAAATATTACAAATAGATTCACCAATAGAATAATTAAAAATACTAATATTTAATTATCCATCGGTAAAATTATTGGTAAAACACCTTAATAAAAAACCTAGAATCCCTAATTTCACAACAGATCTGTCTCTTTTTTTCTTCTTCTTTTTCTTTTTCTTCTCTTCTCTCCTCAACTCTTTCTCTTCTCCTTCATGCTCAGGTGTGTCTTTTTCTCTTTTCTTATTTTTTTCTTCTTAGTTTTTTCTAATTAGTATACTTTATGAATTTTTTTCTTCTTCTTAGTTTCACTTGCAACTACATTAAGGTAAAAAAAACATTTTCTTCTTTTTTTTGTGTGTTTTTCACTATATTTGTTTTTAATTGTTTTTGTTCTTAATAATTGTATTAATGTTTTTGTAGGATTTTTTTTTCACATGAGATCAATTTTTAGTTGATTTATTTATAGGACTTAAAAAAATTTTCATATGAATTTTTTTAGTTGAATTTATTTTTTCATGTTATTTAGTTGAATTTTTTTGTTTTGATTTTCTTTTTCTTTTTCTTTTTTTCAAGCTTTTGAGTATTATAGAGTGTTGATTAATATTAATTTAATTATTTTATAGTTTTGTAAAATATATTTTTTAGAATATTTTTAAATAATTACCGATGGAATTACATACGGTTTGTTTCTGAAGGAATTATCAACAAAATGAAATATTTTGTTTTGCTCACTTTTTCTGTTTGTAAATCCATCGGTAATAATATTTTTTTATTATCAACGGATAAAAAATTACCAACGAAAGATTCACCAACAAAGATTTTTCGTCGGTGATTTTGGCGGTAATTGTTTACCAACAGAATGGTAGTATAAATACTGACGGAAAAGTCCGTTGGTACATCTAAAAATTGTGGTGATAAGCTAACACTCAAATATATAATAGTTTTTCTCTTCTAAAAAGATTAAAAATATTTTTTTATAATTTATATGGATTATCGTTAGAAATTAGATATTTAAAAGATTTATAATTTACGATAACTTAGCCTTAAACCAATTATTTATGATGTTCTTCAAGTAATTTTTAAATAAATTTTAAATTGCTCTATTTTTATCTCACAAAATCCTTAAGATTTTAAAAAAAATTTAATTTTATTATTTTTTATTGTGTTAATGTCTTTCGATGAATTCAACATTTCTTTACCATTTTTTTTTTTCGCAATGCTACTAGATAAACTCCCGTCCTTTATAGAATTCTATTAATGTTTGTGCCAGTGATCGAGATCACGAACCTGACCTCGGTTGGATTAGAAAACAACATTGAATCTGATGAATTGTCAGGGGCAGAATATTAAAAACTTCAGACACATAGAGGTTGAGGAATCCTTGGAGAAGCCAAAAATACAAGTCTTGTTGTTATGTGGGATGGTCATATGATAAATACAGGCAAAGACAAATCCGTGAATACCGACAGCAGGAATCATGGGCTCGTCTTCCAGCTTCCCCATGCATGCCTGACTCTTTCCATTTGCATTTTAATTACTCACATGGTAACCTGTTTCTTTTCATGGAGGCAAAGCGTTTTAAAGTTTTTTTGTTTTAATATTTTTTTATGTGTAATTTTGATATGCTAAAAAAAATTAAAATTTAAAAAATATTATTTTAATATATTTTTAATTAAAAATACTTAAAAAAAACTCTTATCATATTGCCAAACAGCTATAAGCCTATTATGTGTTATTTTCCCTTCCGACCCTAAGTGCAGGCAAAAAAAAACTTATAAGTAAGTAGCATTAGAAGCGAATGGCAAACATCTCCTCGGTAGTTACATTTTATTACATTTTACCATGCATGTGATCTATGTTGTACGGATTAGAAAAGGTTAGACGTGCTTTCCACGCGCTAGCGCAAGATAGCGCTGGCCCTTTCATTGTATTAGAGAATCTTTCGAAGTTCACAGCATGCCATTGTTTCCCTTCCATAAAGATTTTTTTTATACGTATCAGTTCTAACTTTTAGTACCACACCCATATGGTTAACATTACATGAATGATGGCCCATCCCATACATAAATAGCATCACATGTATGACTACTCATTAATGGTGTGTGCGTGCATATAATATTATAGGGGGTAGTGGAGTAGAAAAAGTATATGTGTGCTGTGACTTTTGAGAGTTAGGGTTTGGCATATACCATCATTTCAGATGGATTTAACTTAGCTATGTCAGCTTGGATTCTCCTTTCTGTTGGAATATGTAAACTCTCTTTGAAATATTAATGATGATCGAAGAGAAAAGTTCAAAGTAGAGGAATTATCGGAACCCAGAAGTTCATGATGGCTAACTATTTGTGATTATTTTTGGAGTCAATCATAATTTCTCTAATATATATAGAAACTTCTCTCATTGTCTTCCTCACAGCTCCAAGATATATTGAATTATGAAGCTGGGAAGTGATCAGAAAGGTGATGGTTTGATGATGGATGCTTCAGGCAAGAGCAAGGACGGGGAAGGAGATAATGAAAGTAAGACTAAAAATAGCGCAAGCTCGAGCAATAGCATTGTGGATGAGAGCGAGAAAGCTAGCTCCAGTGGGGTAAGACCATATGTAAGATCTAAGGTGCCTAGGCTAAGATGGACTCCTGATCTTCATCTTTGCTTTGTTCAAGCTGTCGAGAGACTTGGTGGCTATGAGAGTAAGATCTTCAAATTCTCAGCTTCTCGTTCATGATGTTTATATGAACCTCTATGATCTTGTTCCAAGAATATAATTTTATTGGTTAACTTTGTCATCTATCTGTTTGGTATGTACAGGGGCAACCCCAAAACTAGTGTTGCAACTAATGAACATCAAGGGGCTAAGTATTGCTCATGTCAAGAGCCACCTGCAGGTAATTGTAATAAGGATAACTCGTTTATATATAATCACTGTCCCAGTACTAATCACATGATTAATTTATAATTGGACTCTGAGACTTTTAATTAGATGATTGATTCCATAACTTAATTTCATTTTTCCTATTTTTTTGGTTTTCGGAAGCAGATGTACCGGAGCAAGAAGATCGATGATCAAGGTCAAGGTACAGATTTTGTCCTTTGTATATCTTACAATGGATTAAGATATTAGGGTTTGTTTCTTAGTTGTCAATATGTATATATGAGCTCCTAATTCTCAGAACCATCGCCGTTCATGAATTGACAGTTATAGACAGTAGGGGAGATCTTATTGGTTGTTCGGGCTACTATTCTCACAACTTTTGGCAACACTCTCTGCTTCCAAATATTGATCACAATCGTAGTTCTGATTTCAGGTACTGATCAAACTTGAATACGTACAGATAATTTTTTACCCTTCAAAATTGAATTTGGGTTCCTTTTGGGCTTAAATTTATGAATTTCTGGTTCTTTTTTCACACTAGGAGCAGAAGCGTTTCCAGAAGTACTGGACATGGAAACTGGATCACCAGTCCTTCTGTACTGGGACCAGATAGCATGAATATTAGAAGTGGAGCTGGATTTTATAATTCAATTTCTGAGAGGATCAATGGAGAAATTGGCTCGAGCACAAGGCGTGGATCTTTCCATACGTGCAACAACTCGACTTTCACCGACCAACGTAGAAAGCTAAAGCAAGAATTCCTGGATAATGAATCTCATCAGCCGATGTACAATGGCAATTCGATCCAAGGCCAAATAAGTTCAACCACAAAACAGCCCTCTTTTGCAGCCCAGTTTTCTAAAAGAGGAGGGGACTCTAATGAATCAATCAGCTTAGAGACAAAGTGGAGCTTTAATGCGGAAAAAAGCAACAAGCCTAAAAGGAAGGCTGATGATCTTGATTTAAGTTTAAGTCTCTCGCTTTCCACAAGATCGAAAGAAAAGGAAGTCAGGAGAAGTTTATCGTGGGATGAGGAAGACGAGGGCAGCAATTTATCTCTTTCTTTATCTTCTACTTCAACAAAAGAAAGCAATTCTATATACCTAAGCATGCCATCAAAGTACCCAAAACTGGCAAGTACCCTGGATCTGACTATGTGAATTTGTGAATTCAAAGTGAGATGTTGTTGGTACTTGTACAAGAGGATTGGTGCCAATAGATTAATGTTGTGTACTGCGATATCTGGCACTGTCAACTTTCCATGCATTTATGTTATTCATTTCCAAAATACTGAAGCAATTAGTTACATATAAGTTTTAGCTAGCTCTTCTTAATTTCTTGTACATAGTTCCTTAGTCTAGGCTAGAGGCTCACCTTGAAACTGCAAACAGTGACATGGTTTTTTCTTAAAAATAGAAGCGGACAAATTCAAGATATACAGTAGCTTTGTTTGCTTATCTAGGCATTCCCATAGGCCACACCAATATGCTTTGAAATGAGAAATTGGTAAATAGGATTTTGTTATCTTTTTCCTTATTGCACGGGAACAGGGACTGAATTATCATTGTAGTATATACTAAGTATGACAGTAGCATCTCTCTCCAATATATAACAGATATTTATACAACCATATACGGAAGGAATTATTCAAGGAAGAGAATTCGGAAAACCTCTCTGATTACCAATCCCCGCAGAAATTTTAATAATCAGATAGTTCTTTCGTTTTTTTCCTCTGTTAAATCCTTTTTCCCACGCTGCAATGCGCGCGCGTGAGAGAGAGAGAGAGAGATGAGGCTATAAAATTACATGGAATATTCCAGAAGGAATTATTTCTAAAGACCTTTGTAAATTATTGACAATGTGTTATATGATCTTCATTTTCAGATATTATTTCTAAAGACCTTTGTAAATTATTTACAATGTGTTATATGATCTTCATTTTCAGATTATATCGACTTTCTCTTTAATATATATCTTTAATGGTTGTAAATTTTTTCTTGAATGAATACCTTCCTCTTGAATATATATCTTCAATGGTTGTAAATTTTCTCTTGAATGAATACCTTCCTCTTGAATATATATCTTCAATGGTTGTAAATTTTCTCTTGAATGAATACCTGCACAAAATCCTTTAAGTTGAAGGATGTTGTTGAGGGACCCTTTGAAGCACAAAGTCCTTTAAAGACCCTTGAAGGATGTTGTTGAGGGACCCTTTGAATATCAAGTCAATACAAGAGATTTTATGTGATAAAAAAGTATTAATGAAGGTATTAATAAGCTTTTATAAAAATATAGAAAAAGAAGATGTAGAAGAAGATGCAAATGTTGTTAAGAATCCTGTTAGAAATAGATAGCTCATATATTTTAGATTTCCTAATGTAAAACTAATTTTATAGGATGATAAACTGCAGGACAATAATTGATTCCTAATCTATTGGAATAAATGTAAATGCAATTGTATAAATACATGATATGATCAATAATACAATTCATTCCATCAAATTTTTTTCTCTCTTTTCAGTTCACATGGTTTCAGAACAAAGGCTGAGATCTTAAATCCATAATCTTTAGCATCTTTTCTTTCGTCTTTTCTTTTCCATTGTCTTCTATGGATTTTTCAAAAACAAATATCTTAAATCCCTATTTCAATCACCATTTAGATAATCCAGGATTAGTCCTGATTTCAAAACCATTAAATGGAGACAATTATTCTACTTGGAAAAGAGCCATGACTCTGACCTTATATTCCAAGAATAAATTAGGCTTTGTCAATGGCTCAATCAAAACTCCCTCAGCAAAAATTAATCATAAAGAGTATGTAGCATGGTCTCAGTGCAACGATATAATTCATTTTTGGATTATCAACACTCTTAGTCCAGAAATCTCAGACAGTATGATCTACTACTCAACCGCCCATGAAATATAGGAAGATTTTCATGAACAGTTCTCCCAAAATAATACATCTCGTATCTTTGAAATTCAGCGAGACATTGTTTGCCTCTAGTAAGAACAATTCTCAGTCACTACATATTACATGAAATTGAAAAGGTTGTGGGATGAACTATCCTCCTATAATGACACAATACAGGGAACACAATAAGAACAAAAAAATTTAATGCAATTTTTAATGGGATTGAATGATTCTTACAATGCCATTCATGGACAGATCTTGCTGATGAATCCCTCCCCTTCAATTAGTCAAGCATGCTTCTCCATCTCGTAAGAAAAGAACAATGTCTCCTAAGCTCAACACAACGTCTCCTAAGCTCAACACTTACAGGTGATTGTTTTGGTAGTAGTGCCGCCATAGCAATTCGACATAGCAACAATAGAAAAACTGGCAATTTTAGTGTAGGAATACAGACCTGAGTGATTCAACCACTTATAAAGGTCACATTATTTCATATTGCAGGAGAAATCACCAGAAAATACCAATGAAGGATGACAATTTCAGCATTACAGACTGTGTTTTGGCGAAAGCGGAGGATGGCCTTATTGTTCACACTGTGGAGAATCAGGTCATTGGGTACAGACCTGCTATGAATTACACGGGTACTTACCAGGTCACCCAAAGGTAAGGTATGGGTCATGGTTAAAACATTTCAACAAAAAAAATCCTATAGCCAATCATGTGTCTATAGAAGCCTCTCCAAAAGATGGACAACCACTTATTGGGGTTTCACAGGAATAATTAAAACAACTCCTATCACTAATAGATAATAAAAGTAAAAGACCCAGCTCTTATGCAAATGTCGTATCTAAACCAAGTTTGTCTAAAGTCATTTTGCGCAATTAAATCATTAATAGCGGAGCGACAAATCACATTTCTTTTAAATTATTTTTTGACAAGAATAACAAATGCACACTGCCTCTAATACTACTACCTAGTGGAGAAAAGGCTAAGATTGTTGCAAAGGGCTCTTTACCTTTTAATTCTGTCTATTATCTACACAATGTGTTATGTGTACCTACATTCAAAGTAGATTTGATATTTGTCAATCATTTGACGAGAGACCTAAATTGCTCAATAATTTTATTTTCTTATTGATGTTTTTTGCAAGATCTAGTTATGAGGAGGATGATTGGTTTGGGTAAACATAATAACGGACTTTACTATTTGGTGGCTCTAGCGACAAAGCAAAATATGATCAATCCTTTATCCACCATCACTCAACCAACCTGCCACTTTACCATCTCATCCATCGATCTTTGACATAATCGCTTAGGTCATACATCACCTTCCCATTTATGTTTTATTGCTAAAAAGTTTTAAAATTTTTCCATTCAATCCAACACTACTTGCTTTGTATGCCTTTGGCAAAACAAAGTTGTTTACCTTTCAATCCTAATGTAATTTTTTCTATAAAACCTTTTACAATGATTCATTGTGACATTTTAGGTCCTTATCAAAACCTTTTCTCTTTGCTGCTCATTATTTCATCATTATTGTTGATGATTTTACATGTTTCACATGGATTTTCTTAATGAAACATAAAAATCAGACACAATCACTCCTAAAAGACTTCTTCAATGATGTTCTCATTAAGTTTGAAGTTCATATTAAAATTCTTCGAAGTGATATTGGCGGGAGAATTTCTCTCACTTCGGCTTTCATTCAATAAAAAAAGCTCTTTTCTAACATTTTTATGTTTACATGTCTCAACAAAATGGGGTTATAGGATGCAAGTATCGTCATATCTTATAAGTAGCTCGTACTTTAAGATTTCATACTCAACTCCCACTTTAATTTTGGAATGAATATGCCCTTATTGTTGTCCACATCATCAATCAACTCCTTTCCCCTATCTTCTCTTTCAAAACACCTTTTAAACTTCTCTATTCAAAACAACCTTTTTTTTTTCTCATCTTCGCATATTTGGATGTTTAACTTATGCTACCAATGTCCACAATCCTCATAAATTTATTCCTCGTTCCATTCTTCTGTTTTTACCGGTTGCCCTACCAGTCAAAAAGCATATAAATTATTTGATTTATCTAACAAATTTTTTTTTACTAGCCGTGATGTGAGATTTCATGAAAATACTTTTCCATTTACAAATGTCAAACCCACTTTTTCTTCCTTACATTACAATCCTGGTCTCATTCTTTTAATTACCCCTGATCACAATCTTTCCTTCCCCTTTCCATCACCAAAATCATCATCACTACATGCCTAAGTTCACCAATTAGACATATAATCTCCCCACCCCCTACCACTCTCCGATTATACTGTCGCTGCCCAAAGCCTACTAATCCCACAATCAATCAATCACTCTTGATTGCTCACCCTAATCCACCATCCACTCCTCTCTCACTAGAATCAAACATACTTGAACCACAAACCGCCTCCCCTGATACAAACACCACTTTACAACCCACCCCGCCTCCTCGATCCAGCCATCATGCTAGCCCCCTAGCGACGACTAGTTTAGGATTCGACAGCACCTCTTTTTTTTTATAAATGTCTTTTTTTATTTTCTTATAGGGTTTCGAATAATGGCCTTCTCCTGGGGTTTTTTCTGCCTCTAGGTTTTTTTTTCTCCTCACCCCCCCACTCTCACTCTCCCTGTTAACCATCATCCTTTATCTCAGCCACCTCCCCCTCAAATAAGAAAAACTACACATTTGTTTTATCTTCCCCATCATTGTCCATCTCTCTGCCCAAACCTCCTTACAGGAGAGGAGTTCACGAACACACTGTTAGCCAAACCTCACAGGATATCTTCCTCTTGGATTAACAATAGCAGCCCCAGCTAGCATAGATCAACCATAGTAGCAGCAACCATCTCTTTTCAGTAAAGGCAGGGCGGACACGAACAAGAGATTAGAAGAGAGTGGACTGAAGACACAAACTAGAGAATACAAAAATTAAGGAGAATGAATAAAAAAACCACATAAGCATACAACAGAGACAAAAACAAAGAATGAGAGAAGGCAACTTTGGCAAACCAGCACACCTTCGCCATCATCTTCATCATCAGGCTCTAGTATCGAGCAAGCTCTAAGAGAGAAAGTGAAAAATAGGAAGAAGCAGAGTAGAGAGCGTCCGTTCGACCAACAACGTAACATCTTCATCGCCAGCGTCTTCAACTTTACCTCCCTATACAGGTAAGTTCTTTGCCTTTTCCCTTCCTGTATTATAATTCATACTACATTAGCCGTGAATTATAATTCACTTACTACTGTAGCAAGTGAATTATAATTCACTTGTTTATATACTTAGTTAGTGAACAGACCGGGAAAATCGATAATAATAAAAAAATTCAAATCTTTGCGAATTTATTCACTAG